GCCACCTTAGGTGTACGTGGCTGGCGCCTTAGCCGGTTGAGCTATAGGCGCTGAGCCGTGCCATCATATTTTGACTTTAATTTACATTTCCCTGATGACTAACGAAATTGATCACCTTTTCATGTGTTTACTGAACATTTTGGTAACTTCTTTTGTAAAATTTCTGCAAATCTTTTGCCCATTTTCTAGACTGTTTTTTGCTTATGATTTGTTATTTCTTTATAAATTTTGGATATGAGCCCTTTGATGGATATATTACAATTACCTTTTCATGTTATGTATTCCAGTGCTGCTGTTGTCCTGGTAGAGTGCTGTCGCGTCATAGCTCACAGCAATCTCAAACTTTTGGGCTTAAGTTATTCTCTTGCCTCAGTCTCCCTAGTAGCTGGGACTACAGGTGCCCACCACAATGCCCGGCTATTTTTTTGTTGCAGTTGTCATTGTTGTTTTAGTTGGCCCAGGCCGAGTTCAAACCCGCCAGTCTCAGTGTATGTGGCTGGCGCCCTGCCCACTGAGCTATGGGTTAGCTGAACTCATGGGAAGCCAAGTCGATCCTACCCACCAGGGCTCAGACTTTTAACACAGATATTTTACCTTCCTGGTGTCATCACCTGAAACTGTTCTACCACAAAAATGGTTACTTCAAACACCCTGTTTTTTAAACAGACATTATTTTTTCAGTTTCCTTGAAAAGCCCCACCATCAAAATTATTTGACCTCATTAGACCCAACCAACATTGATTCTCCACTTTCTTTATCTCTAAATCCTCACCTGTAGGTCTTTACCTCCTTTTCTAGCCAATTTAGGTTTCAGAATCTGTCATTTCAATTTCCTTGGTGGAATCTGCCTAAAAAAACTGCAACTCTGAATGAATTCAACAACCAATTCTAAAAAATTACTTTTAGAGATAAGCTCTCTACTCTGTCACTCAGGTTGGAATATAGTGGCATGATCATCGCTCACTACAGCCTCAAACTCCTGAGCTCAGTGATCTACCCACTTCAGCTAGGATTATAAGCATGGACCTTATCTGTTAATTTTATCTAAGTGTGAATGTGGGCAGGTAATGTTGCTAGAAGAAAATCATTCAACTGGGCCACTAAATAGCACAATAGATGCACAATCACCAAACCAAGCAATGTTGCCCAGCAATCTACTCAGTTACTTTAGTAAGATAGTGTTCCTACTTTCTACAAATACTATAGGGTGTCTCAAAAGTCGCCCTCAAAGACTCCATACAAAGGGAAAATAGAAAACTGCAGCTAAATGTAACTTTGTTTACAAAATATTCATTACAAAATATTCTCTATGTGTTGGCCACTTTGTTGTAAAATTTTGCAATGAGTATTTTTACAGTAGAACCTTCTATAAGTTGCCAGCCCTGATTCCTGCTTTTCAGAATTTCATAGGGAAGCAAGTCTAGACATCCTGAGGTCTACACCATGGCTCTGGACACCTCTGCTCTTCTCTCCTCAGGAGCAAACTTTAAGTGACTTCTCATCAGGAGCAGGTTGGGCCTTGCTGAAAGCAGGCTGGAACCAAGATCTGGAGGCTGGACTCAGGCCCAGTCTCCCTGTCACCGGAGAACACTCTCTTAAGTACCTCAGCCCTTTCTAAAGAACTAGCTGAATTCCTGGGGAGCCAAGTCAGATCCTCAAATTCACCCAGCATCAATGATGCCACTAGTAGGGACCTGAAGGCCAGGCACTAAAAGCTGCTGGGTCTTAGAAACTACATCACCGAGAAACCCCATCTGAGATTCGATGAGTCTACATTGGGAGACCCAAGAAACTGTAACTGTGGTCACCTCCAGGGAGGGAAACTAGTGTCTAGGAAAGGCCAAGGAAAATGCGGACTAATTTTTACTTTTAAATCTTTCATTCATGCATTACCTAAGCAATATACCATAAAACCTCTTTAGTCCCAGCTACTCTGAGGCTGAGGCGAGAGGAATGCTCAAGTCCAAGAATTTGAGGTTGCTGTGAGCTTTGAAGCCACGGCACTCTACCCAGGGCGACAGAGTGAGACTCTGCCTCAAAAAAACACAAAGAAAAATTAAGTTTGTACTCAAAATATGGTTGGAACTCTTTATAAAAGTCAGAAATGGGTTAAAAAGTACATGTACTTCAAGTTACTGCCATGATGAAGGAAAAAATATATTTAATCTAGTATTACTATTTAATATTATCCATTCCACAATTTAAAAAAGTTTAACTTGTAAATATCATGATTTTATATACAAAAAAACAGTTACACAAAGCTTCATCTCTCTAAAGAGCTCATGGTTTTAAGACAAAAGTACAAATCATTCCTAGTTGTGATCAATTTCTTTTGGGTAGAGGGTAGTCAGTCTTCAGACAAGGTGTCCAAATAAATTTTCTTCATATGCTCAAGTAAGTATTACAACAATATTACAAAGTCAGTCATATTTAGTGCAAGGGATAGGGATGTGGTGCTGAAAAGGGTGTTAAGTCAAGACTAAATCTATCAGCCAGGAGCGGTGGCTCATGCCTATAATTCTAGAACTCTGTGAGGCCAACATGGGTGCTTTGCTTGAGCTCAGGAGTAGGGAGCCCAGCCTGAGTAAGAGCCAGACCCCCATTTCTAAACAATAGCCAGGAGTTGTGGGCAGTACCTGTAGTCCTAACTACTAGGGAGGCTAAGGTAAAGAGGATACCTTGAGTGCAAGAGTTTGAGGTTACTGTGAGCTGTGATGCCATGGCACTCTACTGAGGGTGACAAAGTGAGACTTTGTCTTGAAAAAAAGAAAAAGACTAAATCTATCAAAAGATAGTAGACATCTCTATTAAATGCTAAAAGTAGAGCTGCTATGTGAATTACCATGCAATTTATATAGCTTTGAAATTAGGCAATTATTAACAAAGTTTTCATTTGGAGATTTACATGGATTCAAAATTTGTACAGGAGTGAAACTTCATTATTTCAAATCAGAATGATTCAAATTTGAGTAAAGTAAGACTGTGATACATTTTATATCCAAGAAAATCAAACAGAAACAGATGGTCAAAATAGCTCGAAGGTATCAAAGGATGTGTTTAAGCCTGCATGCTTCAAAAATCACAGAGCAGCACTTCCCAAAGGACAGAACACCATTTTTGTGTGTTTTATGTGCAGAAAATGTGTTTCATGGACAAATAAATTTGGGAAACACTGAACTAAGTAAAGTTAATAGGTTTCTTGTGAATTTCCAAGAGGGAGAGCTCTTGGAAAGCAATTATTTACCCATATCTATTCACTCATTTGTTTGTTCATTCATTTGCTAATCTAGATTGTTATTTATTTATTTTTTTATTTATTTTGAGATAGAGTCTCACTTCGTCGCCCTAAGTAGAGTGCTGTAGCACCATAGCTCACAGCAACCTCAATGGGATCAAGAAATCCTCTTGTCTCTGGCCTCCTGAGTAGCTGGGACTACCACCATAATGCCCAACTATTTTTAGAGACGAAGTCTCACTCTTGCTCGGGCTGGTCTTAAACCCATGAGCTAAGGCAATCCACTCGCCTTGGCCTCCCAGCCCAGAGTGGTAGGATTATAGGCATGAGCCACCATGCCTGGCCTTAATCTGGGTTGTTTTATAAGTCAGGGATTATCTATACCACTTTCTTTGAAATGAAATAATTATATATTAATAGTATTATTGCTAGCATTTATTAAGAATTTACTATGTGCCAGGCATCATATTTGATATGTATTTTCTTATCTAGTCCTAAAAACAACCCTATGCAGCAGGAACTATTTTCATCATTTTTACAGATGAGGAAAATGAGCAGTAATGTTATAATCCTCTCATGGTTACACATTTAACAAGTGGAAGGAGCTGAAAGTTGAACCAGCTCAACCTGATTTCCAGGGCTCATGCTCTCTAACATAATATTATAATAAAAATAGATTTTTTTGGGTGGTGCCCATAGCTCACAGGGCACCCGCCACATAAACCCAGGATGGCAGGGTTGAACCTGGCCTGGG